CTAAATTAATGTCAGCCATTTTTAAAGACCAAGAAGAGGGAGTGGTCATGGTGTAACATCCAATCATTTGGTATCTCTGAAAAGTCCCATCCAAAAACAAACAGATCAGTGCTTTAAAAGCGTCATGGTATTTCCCTTTTCAGGACGTCAAACTATTAATGACTGACTTACTTTAGTCTTTGCAACTTTACAGATCTTCTTTATGCACCAAGAGCTTGTAACACTTCAGAGAAAGGAAACATTGAAATCGCATCATATGACCCCTTTAATGCGATGCTTACTGACACACACACACACACACATATATATATATATCAGAGATCATTTGAAGTGTGGTCCCGAAAAATCTTTGTTTGAAGGGCTATCTGGCCCTTCCCCTTACCCCTACCCCTCCAACCAAAAGAGAATTGAGACAAATTCTCAAGGGGAAAGGGGAAGGGCTAAGGGATAGAATTGGGATTGGGCCTTACAGTGACTCCTTAAGCTGACACACTAAAAACTGTTATAACATCCAGAAAACGACATGCTTCACCTTTAAACCTCATGATAAGGAGAGAGTCTTCCTGCAGAATTAAACTACACCTTGCTTCCTGAAGCTGCATGTATTGTGCGGCATGCTAACAGACTCTCTTTCTGACTCTGTCCCTCGTTTGCATGCAATAGTTGATGATTCACAGAGTCACGGCAAACCAGACGCTGTCTCTTTAAATATTGCTGCTAGCTCTGTGAGTTGTTGTTGTTGGCGTAGTGTTTTGCGTCGCTCTCTGACTCCTCCTCACGGCTCTCAGCAGAATCACAGCATTCAGAAAGAAAGCAAAGCAAATGAACGGCCGTGACATGTGCTCCTGGGGTTTGCTGATGCCCATCCTGCTGCTCATCTGCGGTCAAAGGTGGCTTCTGATTAAATAAAAGGAAAAGACGTGGGTGTAGCAGTCGTTTCAAAATGCTAATGTCATTTAGTTATTAGTTTAGTTTAGTTAGTCATTTTGTTAGAATGTGGATCTTGTCCTTATTAATGGATGCTCAAGGTGCACCAAGTCTTTTATTTTATTTTATTTTAATTTTAAAAAATTTCACAACATTGCCATGGGTTCCTGCAGTCAAGAAAGATCTGGAAACACCAGGGCCTGAAAACGGCCTGAAAACATTATTAAAATTAATAAACTTTTTTTAAAAATCTTGAAATTTATATAGAAAGTGTTTTTTTTTTCTTAATAATGCACAGCTCTCATAATATTCATATTAAGCTCAAATTCAGTATTTATGATATTATACTACTGGTCAAAATTTGGGTTTTTTTTTTTTCATGGCAGCATTTATTTGGTCAAAATACAGTAAATATTTTAAAATTGTAAAATATTATTACAACTTAAAATAACTGTTTTCTATTTGCATATATTTTAAATGTAATTTATTCCTGTGATGCAGTGCTGAATTTTCATTGCTTAACTTCTGAAGGATCATGTGACACTGAAGACTGAAGTAATGATTCTGAAAATTCAGCTTTGCATCACGGGAATAAAATACATTTTAAAGTATATTCACATAAAAAATAGTTTTTTGAATTATAATAATATTTCACAATATTATATTTTTTTATCAAATAAATGCAGCCTTGGTGAGCAAAAGAGACTTCTGTCATTAAGTATCAATTATTCCTTATAACTTAATTGGTACAAACAACTGGAAAGGTAACACGTTTGCATATAATAATTAATGAAATATTTTGAAGTTAAAAATAGACCCGCTTGTGTCTAGCATTCATTTCTTCAAGCGTAAAACTTTTTTAAATTTTTTTGCAAATGGAGACAAATGACTTTATGACTAAAATGACATCAAATAATGTTTTCTCATTGAAGTGCTCATCCATCCTCTGTTTCTCTCTTCATTCTCTAAAGGTCATCTCTCCAGACTGTCATGAAGATGTGTCGTTGAAGAAAGACAACGTTTTTGTTCGCTCCTTCAAAGATGGAAAATTGTGAGTAACTTTCAAATGAAGTTATTTCAGTCCGTGCTTCTACTTTTAGCGCTCGAGCTGCAGAAAAGTCAAGCTATTTCACAGCATTGTGTCTGTTTATAGCTGTGATTTTACAAAACATCCATTAAATGTGGCAGAAAGCAGAAAGCTAAAAAACAAGGAAAGATGCCACCGCTGGGCATCATGTAATGAAGACAGTCAGAGAATATTGTAGTTAAACGCCCGTCTCCGATTAACCTTCTGAAATCAATTTATACTGCCGCTGCCGAAGGCATTCAAGCGTTATGCTGAGAAATGTCTGCTTATGGAGATATTATTTTGTTAAACCTGTGAGAACTGCCAATATACAGACCAGAGCTTCTGATGATTCAATAACTAGACAGATCATTTATAATGTCGTGCTTCGATGGATTGACAACAGTCTCTAAATTGCCTGGATGCTGGTAATCGGTTGCTAAGGTGCTCTGATTGGGGCTGCTAGGGTGGTTACTAGGTGGTTGCTTAGTCCCTAATATGTCATTTATGATGTCATTTTACAATTTTGGTGCATTAACAAACACCGATAATAACATCTCAAGCTTCATGTATGAAAATGTCATAAAACACACACACACATATATATACAGTGGGTACGGAAAGTATTCAGACTTTCCGTATCCACTGTGTATATATATATATATATATATATGTGTGTGTGTGTGTGTGTGTGTGTATAAATATAGTCTATGCACTACTGTTCAAAAGTTTGGGGTCGGTAAGATTTATTTTTGTTTTTGAAGTCTGTTTTGCTCACCAAGGCTGCTTTTATTTTATTAAAAATGCAGTAAAATCAGTAATTGCAATTTAAAATAGCTGTTTTCTAAGTTAATATATTTTTAAAATATGATTTATTTCTGTGATCAAAGCTGTATTTTCAGCATCATGACTCCAGTCTTCAGCGTCACATGATCTTCAGAAATCATTCTAATATGCTGATTTGCTGCTCAAGAAACATTTCTGATTATTATCAATGTTGAAAACAGTTGTGCTGCACAATATTTTTGTGGAAACCGTGATGCATTTTATTTTTCAGGATTCTTTGATGAATAGAAAGTTCAAAAGGGCAGCATTTATTTGAAATAGAAATCTTTTGTAAGATTATAAATGTCTTTACTGTCACGTCAGATCAATTTAATTCATCCTTGCTAAATAAAAGTATTGTTTTCTATAAAGCACTTTTGAACTGCAGTGCATAAGTGTTATAGCACAATGAAAGGCTTGTGAGTTGCACAGGTTACCTGTAGCGCTGGGTTTCTGTACACATCTTCACTGCTCCCTCTAGTGTCGGCTGCGGCATAGTAATGACATCACTGGCCCATGTAGATTTATAAATATTCATGAACAAAGACATGTCTGCTAGCTAATAATCACCTCTTAATTCCCTCAATAAAGCAGCTGCTGAAGGTCTGTGACTTCATGCATCCACTAAAACCCACCAAAACAGCAGCTGATTCAGAGTTTGAGCACACATGCAGTAATAAATAACATCTTGATTTTTCAGCTATGATTTTTAGGTGTCCAAATGCTTTTTAGGGAATGTTGGATAAGACCTGGTTTATGTTCTTATTCGGTTGCTAAGGTGCTCTGGATGGTTGCTAGGGTGTGAGACTTACTGATTGGTTGCTTTTCCGAATGAAAAGAGCCACATTTCATATCTGGTGCCGAGAAATGGCCTGTTTCTTAATTACATGCTGTTTTCCCAGGATAAAGGTTTTGGTATAAAATTTGGTGCATTTTTTAAGAAGCAGTGTGATGATGCTGATTTGGTGGATGTCTGGAATAAATTCTTAAAGTAGTACATTCATGTTTTTGCAAGCAATTAAATGCAATAAAAATTGTAATCGATACTCAGTGACAATGGCTGTTCTATACAGCAGTGTGTTGAACTCTGTGATGTATCATATGTGATGAATCACTGCTAACAGTGTTGTATTTGATCTTATAGTTACACAGTTTTGCGGAAAGACGTTCGAGTGCTGGAGCAAGAGAAAGCTCCTAAAGCGGACGCAGGACTCAGACCAGGTGAGAAACAGTGTGACGCGCAGATCAGCGTGTATTCAGGGCAGGGGTATTATCATTAAATAAAAAACATTTTCATTGCTTGGAATAAAATAAACATTTAGTGAAATAAAATATATATAAAAATAAGTAAATATTTAAAAATATTTTATTTCAGTTTTTTGTAGTTTAAGTGGAATGTTTTTTTAACTTTAAACTGCATAAACACATTTCATTACACCAAATACACAAGATAATGTTCTTTTTAGCAGCATCATATGACCCCTTTAATAAAATAAAATAAAAATGACAAAATACTATTAAAAATGACAAAAATGCACAACAAAATTATCAAAACTTTAAGCAAAATTAAAATGAAAACACAAGAAAATAAAAATAAATAAATAAATAAAATCTAATTCAAAATATTAACAAAAAATACAAATAATTATTTTATTTTTTTTTAAATGTTTGTAAACATTCCGATGTACACAATATGCATATTCTGCCATAAACATACGGTAATATATATGTTTTCTATATACATAATCAACAACTTTAAATCAATTATTTTTATATTTATCCAATTTGATTGCCATTTGCAAAGCTTCATGGGATTGTAGTTCTTTCCCCCATTAAAGCTGTGAAGTACAGAGTCTTGTATCTCTTTCTTTTTTTCCGATTACTTTTTTGCTTTAATCAAAGTTTGTAATGTTATAGTTCGCCTTGTAGCTACTTAGTTTGGTTCATGGCTTATAACTCTTTAACAAATGCTTTTTCTTTTTTTTTTAAATCCCTATGGAGAGAAAGAATGTGAAAAATACTTCCTAAACCAAGGCCTCTGAAAAAGTGGTCGGCTGGAAAGTTGAAAGTGGAAATAAATGACGGACCAAACAAGGGATTTCCAGTCACATGCAGCTCGTTCTAATCCCATTCTCTGTGTTTGTGTTTCACAGCGTTAGATGCAGCGTGGGATTTCCAGCGTAACCGCACTGTGCCCAACACGTGGAGGACGGAGGTGAAGGATGAAAGCTCCAGCAGTGAGGAAGAGGATGAGGAGGAGGAGGAACAAGAGGAAGAGGCCAGCAGAAAGGAGGAAGAGGTGACCGCAGCATTTATAATCATAAAGCATGTGCCGGGAAGAAAAATGGCACTTTGTTTGGTTTGACATCACTCAAATATTCAAAATCTATGGAAGCTTGTTTTCGCCACCTGATAAAAAATAAAAAAAAAGTCATTGCAATTTTTATTTCACATTTCAGATTTTTTTCCCCTCACTTTTCTGTCAGATATAAGATATAAACTCAAAACTGCAAGATAGAAACTTAGAATTGTAATTGTGAGGTGTAAACTTTCAATTTCCTGAGTTAATTTGGAGTTTTAAAAAAAGTATGTGAGATAAAACCTCGGAATTGTGAGTAAAAAATAGTGAAAACTCTGAAAAAATTTTATCTTATATTTTGTGGCAGAAATAAAAACAGTTGCGAGATGTAAGCTCACAATTGTGAGGGAAAAGTTATTTTGAGATTAAAATGACCTTTTTAGTTTTTTATTTGGTGGCACAAAAAAACCCGATGAATTCTGTGGAAAAAGACTTTCAGTTTCCACTTAATTGTAAGACATAAACTTGAAATTACCTTTTTTATTTTACATTTTATGGTAAAAAAAAAAAAAAAGAAACAATTACTGGATGTAAACTCAGAATTGCAAAAAAAAAAAAAAGTCAGAATTGTGAGGGAAAAAGTTGCTGTTACATTTTAACATTTTTATTCTGCGGTGGAAACAAAACAAAGCAAAACAAACAAAAAAAAAACAATGAATTCTGAAGGGGAAAAGTCAAAATTGCAAGGTAAAATTCAAAATGTATTTAAAAAAAAAAAAAATGTTTTACAATTTGTGGCAGAAAAAACTGAATTTCAAGATATAAACTCATAATTTTGACAAAAAAATAGAATTGCAAGATGTAAACCTGCAATTGCAGAAAAAAGGTCAAAATTGTGAGATACAAAGTAGTAATTAGCTTTGTTTATTCTGTGGTAGGAAAAACCACCATAATGAACTCTGAGAAGAAAAGTCGGAATTGTGAGACAAAATGAAAATAGCGAGAAAAAAAGTTAGAACTCTGAGGAAAAAAGTCAGAATTTTGAGATAAAAAGTAAAAATTACCTATTTTATTTTGTGGTAGAAACAAAATAAATAAATAATATGAAACTCAGAATGAAGTCTGAGAAAAAAAGTCAGAATTGCAAGATATAAACTGGAAATTACTTTTTTTTTTGGCAGAAAATCTTTTAAATTTGCGATATGTAAACTCGCAATTCTGAGGGGAAAAGTCTGAATTGTAAGATAAGATTTTATTGATTTTTATTCTGTGGTGCGAAACAAGTTTGAATGGGGGAATCTGCTGAAGCGCAGCACTAATGTTTATGTTCGTGTGAGCTTTCACTCTTACAGCACGAGCTCCTGTCATCAGCCGTCTGTTTACCTTGATTTATTGACCACAAAATATCACCTTTAGAGTTTAAGTGGCGTATTTAGTGATAGATGAACAGCTTGTGCGTGTGATGACAGGTTTCGCTGTTACTCAGACTTGTGACGGCTGACGTGGGTGCAGTCAGAGTTACATAAACTAGATTACAGAGGAAAAACACTTCGCAGCCAGACAGTTTTCATAACAGTGTTTTAAGAAGCTATTTTTTCCAACAAGTAGCAACCAAACATTACATGGCTATCCTTTTATGTGCAGCTTTACGAATTATGCAGCTGCTTGTTGTCTCTTGCAAATGAATCACTGGAGGTCTGATTCATTTAAGCAAATCGGTTCATTTAATTGATTCTTTTCAAAAAATGAGACACTGAATCATTTGAGCCCTCGCCCACCATTGTATGCTTGGGTTGAGCATCAGAATAATTAGTTAAACCCTGTTATTTATCCCTGTTTTCAGCTTAGTTATTTTGATTGGGGTGTTTTTGTTTTATTTTGTTTGTGTTATTAGTTAGTTTTTTTTAGTTTTTTTTTGCCATTTTCTGTGTTATATATTGCTGTTTGGGGTCGGTACTTTTTAGAATTCTAGAATTTTTTAGAATTAAATTTTATTAGGTAAGGATGCATTAAATTGATTAAAAGTCTGTAAAAACATTTTATAATGTTACAAAAGATTGCATCACAAAACTATGAAGCAGCACAACAGTTTTCAACATTGATAATAATCAGAAATGTTTCTCGAGCAGCAAATCAGCATATTAGAATGATTTCTGAAGATCATGTGACACTGAAGACTGGAGTAATGATGCTGAAAATTCACAGCAATAAATTGCATCTTACAATATATTCAAATAGAAAACAGCTATTTTAAATTGTAAAAATATGTCACAATTTTTACTGTATTTTTGATCAAATAAATGCAGCCTTGGTGAGCAGAAGAGACTTCTTTCAAAAACATTCAATCTTTCTTACCATAAACATTTGAACGGAAGTGTATATTTGTAAAGATATCGTCCTCTTAAATAGCTTCAGTGTACTTAACTACTTTTGGTTAGTAGCTTGTAGTGTAGCTTAACTAGTTTTTTTAAAGGCACCTTTGAATGACACCCAACTCTCTGTGTGTGTGTTTCCTGTACGCAGGAGGAAGTAGAGCCGTTCCCAGAAGAGAAGGACAACTTCCTGCAGCAGCTTTACAAATTTATGGAGGATAGAGGTGAGCAGTGTTATTTCAGTATGATTTTTTATACTATTGTAGTTTAATATCTTACTTAAGTTTGTTTTAGTCATGTGCTTGTCATAAAGCTTTCATTTTCATTTCAGTTTTAGTAATTTTAGTGCTTCAACTTTTTTTTCATCAAGTATTTTTCATTTTATTTTATTTCAATCACCGAAAGTGATTTTTAACAATAGCAAGCTCTAGCGGTCAAAGGAGTGCTTGATGATATGCATATCTTGAAAGTCACTCTGTATAAAGCATCTGCCGAATGCATTAATGTTTAAGAGGTTTCTTTGCTGTTCTGTTCAGGAACTCCTATCAATAAGCGACCGGTGCTGGGCTACAGGAATCTCAATCTTTTTCAACTCTACAGGCTGGTGCATAAGCTCGGAGGATTTAACAACGTGAGTTTTATTTTATTTGACACGGTCTGCTGCTCCGTCTGCGTTAGCTTTGACTCGTGTTCCTCCCTGTGTTTCAGATCGAGAGCGGATCTGTCTGGAAGCAGGTGTATCAGGATCTGGGCATCCCCGTGCTCAACTCCGCAGCCGGTTACAACGTCAAATGTGCCTACAGAAAGTACGTGCATCCTTCATAAGCCCCTGACGACAGTGACAGCAAACCGTGAGCTGCTCATTGTAAAAAGTTTGAGAAGAACAAGCACTGAATGCACCTGTTCTGTCTCTTGTCTCATGTTGCAAAATGTGGCACACGTCTTGTATCCAGGGTTATTATTGTTGTTTCCCACAACTATTAAAACAGTTTTGTTCATTGAACTAAAGCTTAAATAAAATAAACTATAAATATTAAATGAAAATCTTCAGTTCAGTTATTTTCCAAGGCAACATTTATCATTTTTGTTTAGTTTAAGAAGCATTCATTATTAGCTGGACGTTAAAAAAAAAGCGAATAAAAATTATGAAAAAAAAAAACGTATAATAAAAATATAAATATTAGATGAAAACTTAAGTTCAGTTATTTGCCAAAGCAACAAACTTTTTAGTTTTGTTTAGTTCAACTTTGAAGCACTAATTACTAAATAGACATACAATAAAAACATTTTAAAAAAAAAATATATATATATATATATTAGATATTCAGTTATTTGCCAAGGCAACATATATAATTTTCATTTAGATTAAGCTGAAGCACTAATTACAAACTGGACATAAAATAAAAACTAAAACTGATTATAATAAAAATTATAAAAATAAAATGCAAAATATAAAAAATATTTTACAAAAATATAAAAATAAAATTTAAAAATTAATTAAACCTTAAATAATAGCATTAAAAAAAATAACACTAATAATAAAATGAGAAAAGTGCAAAAGTCATTTACTAATTGTAACAAATTAAAATTAAATCCGAAATTATAAAAGTATAAAAACCATTTCAAAACATTAATAAAAACTGCAATAGTATATAAAAAATACTAAAATAACGCTGCCTCGCTCAAAGCCTATAGCGCCACCAGCATTTTAAAGTTTCATGCTAATTTTAATTTATCATTTTTTAACTAAATTGCTCAATTTGGATCAGATCATCTGAAGACCTTTCTGGTCAGTTTATTATTGATATACCTGTCAGCAATTAGGTGGTTTAAGGTCCAGTGATGATAAGTTGACCATAGTTTTACATCATGTGACGAGGTAATCTGTGATGTTGAACCTCCTGCAGGTATCTGTATGGCTTTGAGGACTTCTGCGCCTCCACGGGAATCACCTTCCGCATGGATCTGCCGTATAAGACCGAGAAGACGAGCTCAAAGAGCGTGGTGAACGCGGAGGAAACGGCCAGCGGCGGAAACGCTGTCTCTTTAAGCACATCCAGCGCAGGAGAAGAACAGAAAGCCCTCAAAGAACCAGAGACCTCCAGCACGCAGCATGTGGTCAAGGTACTGAAGCATCGTCTCAGGGTGTGTCTGATACGGCAAACTAAACATACGTCTCATGCTGCGTCTGTGCTGCATGCATTGAATACACAACGATTATCTACTGCATCCTCAGTTATACTTCACATATTTTCAGATAATTTTCAAACAGCTGTATAATTTATCATTTATTTTATAAATATGTGATTTAATACAAGATCACATTTGATTAAAATGTGAAAAAATAAATATATATTCACACTTTTAATCAATTATATATATATATATATATATATATATATATATGCACACACAATATATGTATATATACATACAGTGTGTGTATATATATATATATATTTATTTTTTTTGTGTGTGTGTATTGACTATGTAGCTTGACAAAATGTATTTAGTGTTCATTTAATGTGATCAGTTGCTGTTTTTTATTAATGTGATCAGTAACAGTATTTTTTTATTATGTATGTTCATTTGATAATTTATAGTGTGACGACATTATCATGTAACTAAGTACTTTTTCAGTTACAGTTCCAAAGCTGCTGTAAGCAGTATACACTACATACTGTGCAGTAAGCAGTACACTACTATTGCATTTGAAGCACAGCCAGAATCTTCAGCTGTTTATGATTGTATGACCTCATTTATATTCATAAGTCATGCTTTTTTCTCGACACAAGCTGCTGAAACAAAGAAAAAAAGCATTTACAAATGTAGCTAAGGCAGCGTTTAATTAGGGTCAAATAATATTAATTGCAAGAACATATGGGTGAGAATGACGTGTTATTTGATCTCAGGAGGAGAACGCAGAATCCACAGCACCGTGTGAAGATAAAGCGGACATCAGCAGCGTAAATGAGGAGGACGATAACCACGCTGATGAAGAGGAGAACGATACGAAAGAGGAAGCTGAAGAGTGCATCCCGACAGCGCAGAGTCCCGTCACTGAGAGCGTGAAGGAAGAACTGTGTGAGGAACCCGATAACAAAGATCTGTCAGGGTAGGTGCAGCCTAAACCCTCCTCACTTCCTGTCTGAGCGTCAGTGCTTCCTGTCTGAGCGTCAGTGCATGTGGATCTCTGAAGTAGGGTTGTCAAAAAAAAAAAAGTTGAATTTCGATTATTCGTCGAATTTAAAATCAAAATCCACATTCGAATGCAAAAACGTTGCATTCGAATTTTAGGTGTTCGTCAGGCTGCCGTATCAGTGGCGCGCGATGACGATGTAAGTGTCGTTGCATTTTAATGTTTTTCATAGCTTATCCAGTTGAACCCACTAGATGCGGCGGTGCTACGTTGTTCATTCAAAATATTGCGGAAAAAGAACATCAGTGTGGCGAAGATGTTGTTTACATCAAAACTGAAACCAAGCCGTTCACACAGAACTCATATTTATCGCATTTTCTAGAGGGACATCTATCAGCATTACACTCGCGTCTCGCACAAAAGAGACGCATGTTTAGAAAGCCATGTAAAATTAATGCAAGTTCAACTTTCGTCTCGAGACTTTATGGCGGTTTTTCCCCATCCTACTGCATCTCATCTGCTGTTAAAACTAAGCTCAGAATCGATTCGAGAGAGAATCACGATGCATTCCGAAAATCTCAGAATCGATCCACGAATCGCGATGCATCGATTTATTGTCCCAGCCCTAGTTGATGTAGGCATGAATTGCTGTGTTTGTATTATGTATTGCGGTGGTTCATAATTCAAATATCCAGGGAGTGTTGCTAAAAGTTAATGCTGTATCGTGTTGGAAATATCCCCTACACCAAACCCAACCCTAAACCTACCCGATAGTGTTAGCAAATGCAAAAAATGCATTTGTCGATGCAGCTGTGCTATTTTAACTTCCTTATGCGGATTTGAGCTGTTTTGTTGAACCGTATTTTCACGGGGTTCGTACCAAAGCTCTTCATCACTCAAGTGCAACGCCGAGTTAGAAAACTCATGCATATGAAGCTGGATGTGTGACGCTAACCTTCAAATGCATCAGTTTTCAAATCGCGCAGGATATTAAAATTGTTTTGAATTCGTAACATAATATTCCTCAAGTAATTATGCGAAAATTAGGCTTTATTAATCGAATCTGTGGACCTGCAAACCATACTTTGTGTGAAAAGGAATAAAAGTTGTGGGAGTTTTACTGCCTCTAGTGTTCATTTCAACTGGAAACTGCAAGCGATTCGTATGTATAAGTACGTTTTTTTTAGTTTTGCAGAAATGTAGGTAGAGCCTATGTTGGAGATTTTGGTAGTGCAGAAAAAACAGATGAGAGGAAGAAGAGGGACGAAGAGTCAAGTCACCTTTATTTCTATAACGCTTTTATACAATGCAGATCGTTTCGAAGTGGCTTCTCTGAAATAAACAGGAAAATAACAGAATCAGTGATGCAAAGTACTTCAAATATGAGACAAATTCAGATTCTGCTGTAAAGAAGCGCTGAAAACAATATTCAGCTCAATAACTGTAAAGTTCATCAATTATGAAACGTTCAATTTAGCTATAAGCAGCTCTACAGAAGACCAAACTAAGGAAGATTGAGTGAGAAATGGACAAAAAGGTGAGAACTGCTCTTAGACTTTGTTCAGGCAGTATTTTTGCTATGTGTGACTCAAAAGTTGTTGTTAGGGATGGAATGATTACATCGATCGATCATGAAAGCACTTAAAAAATTGTGACCTCAGTTTTTGTGGAAATATTTCACTGATTTTATTCGTGGATGTTCTCTGGTGTGAGCAGGACGGATGAGACGTTGAAGCCAAGCATGATGGCCTTTATGAAACTGCATGTTGGCCGAAGCATTTGCTCTTTTTAGCTTGCTTTCTCTCTCTACACCTTTTTTTTCCAACGGCAGGTTGTTTTACCTTGAAAATGTATCAACCGAAAAAACCTCAGTTCTTATTTTCCGTTGCGCTGGACAATTTATTTGTCCTCTGTCTGTTTGAAATTGTTATTTAAATGATCTGTATCATGTGACTCAATTCCTGTGAATTTTCTGTAACTTTTGTTATAGAATATAACATATTACAGCCACTATATCACAGCCAGCTTGTGATGGAATAAAGACAGTAATTAAATTTCATCAGATTGAATTTCTTTACAATAAGATTCAAAACCTGGTAGACAAGGCTTTTACAAGCTTTATAAAGAAGTGTCTTCTGCTCACCAAGGCTGCTTTTATGTGATCAAAAATACAGTAAAAATTGTGAAATATTACTATTTAAAAAAACTGTTTTGTGATTTAATATATTTTAAAGGGGTCATATGATGTTGCTAAAAAGTATTAATTTGTCTCACTTTTGATCAATTTAATGCATCCTTTATGAATAAAAGTATTCATTTCTTAGGGGGAAAAAACTGATGTAACTGACTACATTTCTCCAAAAGTCAGTAGAACCGGAGGTTGAATCTGAATTATACCGGCACTGTTTTTGTGTTCACTGTTTTCTAGTCAAATCTGGGATTTGGGTGTTTTAGGTTTTGTTTTGCACTATTCAGGTGTGACTTTGAAGCGATGGACTGACGAGTTGAGCTCTACACTGCTGCCCTTCGCTGTTTAAAGTGTTTCCTGACGCTTTCTGCTCTCTCATATCATGCCTTTAGTGTTCTGCTGTGATGTTGTGAGATGTTCTGTGGATGAAAACAGACCTTGATGCTGAGATCATGTGGAGATTTGTGTCTGGTTAGGGTTGGGAATTGAGAAGCTGTTCTAAGAAACACTCTTAAAAATAAAGGTTCCAAAGGGGGTTTCTGCAGCAAAGCCACAGAAGAACCATTTCTGGTTCCCCCAAGAACCTTCCAGTGAATTCTGAAAATAACTTTTTTTCTTAGTGTGAAGAACATTTTCAAAGTTCTTCAAAGAACTTTTATTTTTAAGAGTGTAATGGAATTATATAAGACTATTGTTCTATTATTGTGTCATTAATGGTTCTTCATCTTATAAGCTATAGAATTGATTTGGTTTAATGGCTTACTCACTTTACTCACTTGCAGGTGTTTAGTCATGTTGAACTCTGAACTAACTCAACGGTACTAACAGAATCATGAAATTATTAAAGGAATAGTTCACCCAAAAATGAAAATTTGCTGAAAATGTCCTCACCCTCAGGCCATCCAAGATGTGGATGAGTTTGTTTCTTCATCAGATTTGGAGAAATGTAGCATTGCATCACTTGCTCAGCAATGGATGCTCTGCAGTGAATGGGTGCCGTCAGAATGAGAGTCCAAACAGCTGATAAAAACATCACAATAATCCACAAGTAATCCACACCACTCCAGTCCATCAGTTAATGTCTTGAGAAGCCAAAAGAAACAAATCCATCAAGACGTTTAAACCCGTTGCTTCTGGCCAAAATACGAGTCCATAATCCATAATATAACGCTTCCTCCAGTGAAAAAGTCCATCTCCTGTTGTCTCTCACATCAAAACCCAGCCACATATTTGTTTAGAGCTGTTTTGGCTTGATCTGTGCAGATTTTTCTCCTGATTCAGACCAGAAAACTTTTACACTGGAGGAAGCGTGATTATGGAGTTTAGTTAAAAACGCGTTAATGCTGGATTTGTTTCAGCTTTTGTCTTCTCCAGAGGTTAACTGATGGACTGGAGTGGTGTGGATTACTTGTGGATTATTGTGATGTTTTTATCAGCTGTTTGGACTCTCATTCTGACGGCACCCATTCACTGCAGAGCATCCATTGCTGAGACACTGATGCAATGCTACATTTCTCCAAATCTCATTAAGAAACAAACTCATCTGTACATCTTGGATGGCTTGAGGGTGAGCACATTTTCAGCACATTTTCATTTTTGAGTGAACTACTACTTTAAGAAGCCAGAACCAAAATGGAATCACAACCATTAAATTTCTAATGATTCCCTCCTCTACTGCTGGTCTTAAGTTCATAAATTAAAACTGGTTGCATTGACTCAACTTGAATGCCTTTTGAGATTAAACTTGCCTAACTAATCCAGTCTTCTTAAGTTAACTGGTCTTGGTAGATGTTTTTCGCCGCCGTCTCAACGATCATCCTGCAGTGGTGGTTTTCCAATGATGCTTCCCCCCTCCATTTTCTGTATTGTTTTGCTCAGAGTGAATCAAATAACTATGTGGAACCAGGGTCCTGCCTAGTCCCAGCTCAGTCGTTGCATCACTAGTTGAGTTGTCTGCTGCTAACTAACCAGGGTTGTCTATCGGTAGAGCTATCCACACTATGTAGTCATTACACACGGTGGAGTGGTAGGGTTCAGTGTGCTAACTGTCTAACGTGGCTTCTTCTCTGCTCTCTAACGTGATTGTGATTTGCCCCTTGCTGAGCTTCGCTGTGCCTCTCGCTGCACTCTGACCCTTTCCCTGTCACACGCACACATCCTGAACTCAAGTTCAAAGTCACATTTGAAATATCTTTAAGGTTAGAAAACTCATTTACTCACCCTCATGTTGGTCCAAAGCCGTATGACTGACTTTCTTCTGTGGGACACTAAAGGAGACGTTTAGCAGAATGTTCATGCTACTTGTTCATATAGTGACTGACCGCAGGCTGTCAAGCTCCAAAAAACACAATAAAGGTAATTTTAAGGTCTTTATGATTATTGAGGACTTTTGTACAGTGTTTGGCTGGTTAGCATGAATAGTTAGTCCCTACTAGTAGATGCAGTAACTACACCAAAATGCATCTTTCTCCATTTACGGCCAGTTAAAAGTGGCTGTGCACTTTTTGCAAGCAGCATATTAATTGATAATATTTCATGGTGTTATTGTAGATGTTTCACCAGTCTCCAGTTATTTATTAATGTTTTATATTTTTTTATATTATGTATATTTGCAACAATAAATCAATACATAATTATGTAATAGTGAAACATCTATATATTTTGTATATAAAAAATGTAGATGTGTGACTAGTGTACAATTATTTATTTATTAATTGTAAAAAAAAATGTATTTGAGAATATATTTAAAAAATTTTTATATAATACATTAGATACTATATGTACTATATGTATATGTAGATACTATATGTACTATAAGATGTTTAATTAGTATACAATTATTTACTTAAAGACATATAATAAAAATATTTTTTTTTTATATATATATATATATATAATTTTTTTTTTTTTTATTCTTTATTTTTTTATAAATAATAATAATATTTTATTAACTGAATATACAGTGGTGGACAAAACTATTAGAACATTAGTATTTTAACCAGCTAAAAAGTGGTTTTAAGTCAGTTATTTCAATCTTTTAGTTTTGGGCATTTAAAGTGTGGAAAGTAAACAACAGCTTAGTATACAAAATACATTGGCTTCAGAACACATTGATGTAGTGCACAGATTGCATGGAGCACTTTTATTTATTTCAGTACTTTTTGGATCTTGACAGCTACTGGACACCATATGCTTTCAAAAAAACAGGTTGGAAAACTTCTGACATGTTCCACATAAGAAATACAGCATGAGGGTGAGTAAGTGATGACAGAAGATTAATTTTTGGGTGAAACATTCCTTTTAAACAGGCAGTAGTTCTCAGTATATTCCAGGTTGAGGTTCAGACAGCCGGCTGATGACCCCATAATGTCTTCCTCTGATAATCTCATCCTATCAGGAGGATTGCTAGACTTATCCGACAGAAAAAGATGAGGATAATTAGATTCCAGAAGCACTAGGCTGAGACAGCGAGCTCACTTTGGGGAGGGTTTTTTGGGGAGGGCAGTCGGGGGGGAAAGTCTAGTGCCAGGAAACAGGAAGTACTGAATTGTCTTTCTTGCAGGGATGTCAGCAGTCAGGAGTGGGAGGAAGGGGAGGAGTTTGAGTGTTACCCTCCTGGGATGAAGGTGCAGGTGAGGTATGGGCGAGGCCGCAATCAGAAGACGTACGAAGCCACTGTGAAAGAGTCAGACCTGGAGGGGGGAGAGGTGCGCTACCTGGTGCACTACTGTGGCTGGAACATCAGGTAAGGCAGGACCCTGGGAACTCATGCCTAATCTGTTTGCATTTACGAAAAACCTGGTAGCCCCAATCAGATTATGGTAATGGAGTCAGAAAGTCTGCAGGGATTGAGAGTTTTTAGTAGGCCAAAACCCCAAATCAAGCTTTTTAGCTCTTCCATTTGCATTGCAATGAAGTCAGTGGGTTTTTGAATGGGTTTTTGGTTAAATGTCTGAAATAAGGCCAGTGGTGAACAAAAGCTCAAGACATGTTCACATTGTTTTTGTAAGCCAAAACCCAGAAACAAGGAATTTTAGCACTTCTGGATCCATCGTCCTGGCAAAATGTCTGTAATAAGGTCAGTGGTGAACACAAGCTCAAGATATTTTCATGTTTTTGTAGGCCAAAACCTAAAAAAGTGTATTTTAGCACTGCCAGTAGCATCGTCTTGAAGTCAGTGTTTTTTTTTTTGTTTGTTTTTTTAATGGGTTTTTGGTTAAATACCTGAAATAAGGTTTGTCGTGAACATGATCTCAAGGTATTTTCACATTGTTTTTGTAGGCCAAAACCCAAAAACAAACATTTTAGCACTTCCATTTTCATCGTCCCAGTGTCATTGGGTTTTTTAATGGGTTTTTGGGTAGAAGCCTGAAATAAGGTCTGTTGTGAATATAATCCAATTTTCACATTGTTTTTTAGGCCAAAACCCAGAAATAAGCATTTTAGCACTTCCGGTTCCATTGACTCAAAATACGTGGGTTTTTGGTTAAATGTCTGAAATAAGGCTGCTGGTGAACAGTTTCACTCTTGACACAAACTGCATCAGTAATGCCACCTTGTGAGGTTTTTTAGAAGATTTTACAGTTGCTAACAAGTAGTTAAACGGCACTACAAAGGTTGTCGGGGACATTAAACGTCATCAAACGAACAGGAAAACTCATCTACTCGTGTTTATCTGGCAAACTATTCTAACTCAAACTTTCATTGAAAATGTTTTTAAATAAAAAGAGTTGTCGAAACTCAATGATGGTGTTGTTGATGTCATGTGACTATGCTGTTGTTCGTTTATAGCCTACGTTTAGCGTTTTACTTCTGCTGATTGTGTTGAGGCTTCAAAATTTGTTCATTTGTGAAGGTCAGCATGAGCAAAATGCGTAAGAATCAAACTCTTGTTGGTATTTTCTGCAATTATCCAATAGCCAATGGAAAAATCCTATTGGGTTTTTGTCGGTGGAACTAGGTTGACGCTAACTTACAGGTCAGCCTACAAAAATACATCAGTGCTGCTGCGCTGTATTGCTGCTTGATGGACACATCAAGTGACCGACCACAGCTTTTTTGGTTTTAACATGTGGAAATGTGTTTAAATAATAATTTCTGCCCATCCAAAAGTAATAAATACTAGGGATGCACGATATTATCGGACCGATATCGGAATCGACTGATAATGGCTTTTAATGTAAATATCGGCATCGGCCCGATATGAAAAATTATGCCGATATGTCTTGCCGATAAGAGGAATAGGTTAACTCACATGTGCTCAGGGTGTGCTAGCGATTAGATCACGTCTGCAGTGTGACTCATTTTTGAAGCAAAGTTTTGCCTGAATGGTGATTGGATTCATCCAAAAGTAATAAATACTAGGGATGCACGATATTATCGGACCGATATCGGAATCACGTCTGCAGTGTGACTCATTTTTGAAGCAAAGTTTTGCCTGAATGGTGATTGGATTCATTGTTTTGGATCGCTGCATTTAAACTGAGAATGCAGTACAGAATGAGCGTTCGGTGTATGATAGAGTAAACAGTAATAGCACGTGCAGCGGCAGCCTCCTCCGGGTCCTAATGCCCGCTCGGTAAGGAGTTTTAATTCCGTAGGGGGCGCTGTTGGCCTACTTTTAATAAAATGAAAGTAAAATACACAAATAACATTTAGACTGTTTCTGATTAAATAAAGCAGTAATTGATGTCATAAAATCATGAGTATGTTTTGATTTAAAGGTCAGAAGCTATAGCTTACATGAATAAAAAAAATCACAAACATGACACTTGTAAATTAAAAAAATATATATACTGATTTATTCATTAATGTGTAATATTTTATATTTTTTAAACAAATTATTAGCTCTAAAAGATTTTCAGAAGGAGAGACTTGGTGTTGTTTCCAAACAAAAGGAAATATATCGACATCGGCTATCGGCCAAAAAGAGTTGAAAAATATCGGCAAAATCCAATATCATGCATCCCTAATAAATACTGATTGTTTCACAGATCTAAGTCCAAAAACAAAGCAGAATTTGCACTTCTGCTCATCGATATTTAGTTTACTACCAAGTTCCTTTCAGAGATTTGCAGTTACTTCTTCCTAAGCATTTATAATTTCAAACTGGCATTTTGTGAACTCGACTTGGTTTCCATCCTTGCCAGATTGAGGAGGTGCTTTCTAGTTTCACGTGTCGTCTTGTGGAAAATGTTCAGCTTAGTGATAGACTGATCAGCCTCTTATCATCTTTAAAGAATGTTTCTGGGTGGTTTATAGAAATAAGTCAGGTGTGCTTGACACATTAAAGACTTTTAGACTTCTTTTCTGCATCTGAGAGGATGATCAGAGACGAATGGAGCGTGAAAGTACGTTCACACTTGTAGTCATTTGTACTCAGCAGCAATGGCCGGTATGAGGAGGTGGACCACGTGAACTCAGGGTTCGATCCGTTAGCATTCCCATTCATCTCAATTGAATGGGGCAGTTCTTCAGTTGCCATATGAAACCGAAGTACACAATCTTCTTCATTTTAGTTCTGAGTGTATGTTTTTTCCTTCCAACTCTCATTGAAAAGGAATGATTATGGTTGCTTTGCCATTGCAAATTGCTGTCAGTATGAACAACCCTTAAAACTAGAACATGTCATCATGACATACTCCGGTTTTTCTTCTCAGATTTGGATTTGAGTGTGTGTTGTGTGGACATTTCTGACAAAAATAGCAGAGCAGCATCTTCTGAAGACCTTTGTTGCAGCTTTGGTGCTTTACACTAGTCATGTTGTCTCTTTCGCAGCGTTTTATGTTTATGGTGCATTTGTTCTCTTGATTGTGACTTTATATCTTGCAGTTGTGCAATGTAATATCTCATTATTTGTACATTGCATCTCGCATTTGCAACAAAAGAGAAAGTTTTGTGAGTTTTGGAGTTTTATGTTTATGGTGCATTTGTTCTCTTGATTGTGACTATATCTTGCAGTTGTGACTTGTGCAATGTAATATCTCATTATTTGTACATTGCATCTCGCATTTGCAACAAAAGAGAAAGTTTTGTGAGTTTTATGTTTATGGTGCATTTGTTCTCTTGATTGTGACTTTATATCTTGCAGTTGTGACTTGTGCAATGTAATATCTCATTATTTGTACATTGCATCTCGCAATTGCAACAAAAGAGAAAATTTTGTGAGTTTTGGAGCCATATTATTTAGTAAATGTTGACCAATCTGCCTCTCTTAACAGGTATGACGAGTGGATCAAAGCCGATAAGATTGTCAGACCAGCCAATAAGAACGTCCCTAAAATAAAGCACCGCAAAAAAATAAAGGTACAGTCTGATTTCCTTAAGGAGATTTTCTTTTCTTTTTTTTTTGTTCAGCATACTTAAAAGTTAGCGGTCTATAAGACTTTATAAATTTTTTAAATGTCTCTTATCTTCACCAAGGCTGCATTTATTTAATCAATAATACAGAAAAAATTCTAAAATATTTTTACAATTTCAAATAACTGTTTTCTGTTGTAATATATTTTAAAATATAATTTATTCCTGTGATCAAAGCTGAATTTTCAGCATCATTACTCCAGTCTTCAGTGTCACATGATCTTCAGAAATCATTCTAATATGCTGATTTGCTGCTCAAGAAACATTTCTGATTATTATCAATGTTGAAAACAGTTGTGCTGCTGAACATTTTATATTTTTGTGGAAACCATGATACATTTTATTATTACTTTGAACAGAAAGTTCAAGGAACAGCATATATTTGTGGTTTGATCAATTTAATGCATCCTTGCTGAATAGAAGTATTAATTCCTTTCAAAAAAATCTTGCTGACTCCAAATCCAAGTGTATTCTTTATGCATATTCATATTTAGAGAGGTTGCATTGTTAATTTGCTGTTTTTGTTTAATCACAGAATAAAGCAGAACAAGAAAGAGACCGAATAGAGAGACTGACAGACAGAGAGGATCTTCCTTCACCCAAAAATCGCATCAACCGATTGTCCAAACCAAACTCCAGCAGTGATGCTTTCTCCACGAAGGAGGAGTATGGCGATGAAGGAAGCCAGCAGACGCCTGTCAAGCCCATTGAGATCACATCCATTCTCAACGGCCTCCCAGGTACCTTTACATTCACACTGCTTAATTACAAGTCTTACTTGAAGGTGAAGTGTGCAATTTTTCAATGCTAAAATACTTCCTTGTGTTCAGAGTCACTATACGACAGTCATTAGTAATTTGACTTCCTAAAGAGTTAAAAAAATAAATGTATAATATATGATTTAGGTACACAACATTGCACGAACAAAATGTTTCAACGCGATTGCAATGTGATTTTATACAATTGTAGTTCAATAAACAAGAAGTTAAAATTAAGTGACTGTCATTTGCCGCCACCTACTGGTTTGGTTTCATATTTAAAACAATCTTTGCATTTTCCCCAACGTTTCTTATTTGTATGTTTAAAAATATTTTAAGCATTAATCATATAAAATTCTTTATGCATTCTAAATTTTGCAGTGTAAATGCATTTATAGCACCTCAGCTTCATCAAACAGTCTGTGTAAATGCATCTAATGCCACTTCAGATGCAGCTTCTGTGTTGATACTGATTTCATTTGAATGGTAACAGCTCTACAACTTCCTTGTGTTCAGAGTCACTATACGACAGTCATTAGTAATTTGACTTCCTAAAGAGTTAAAAAAATAAATGTATAATATATGATTTAGGTACACAACATTGCACGAACAAAATGTTTCAACGCGATTGCAATGTGATTTTATACAATTGTAGTTCAATAAACAAGAAGTTAAAATTAAGTGACTTACATTTTAGACACAATATTGACTCTTTTTGCTCAATTTCGCTGATGAAAATAATTCCAATCAAAGCCACAGCAGAACTGTTTTGAAATGAATCCACGTTTTGAACGAATCAAGTGAGTCAGTGATTTTCTTATTATTCTAACTGAATTAATTGAAACAATGTAAGAATTTGACGTGAAAGATGACACATTTAATAAGGACAGTGAAAAATGACAATTTAAGAAACATAGTGGGAAATGACATCTGTTTTGTTATATACAGCTACTCCTTTTCAGTTAAGTTGTTATTTTTATCTCTTTTCTAGTCACAGAGCACTTTATTTTGAGAGTTGTTTACATGAGAGAACATCTGTAACTTTGTCCAGATTGGAGGAATTGTAAAGTTTAATAATTTTGAATAAAAAAAGTATATATTTTTTTTTATAATTGATTTTTTCAATTATAGTTTTTAGAAAGAAAATCAGAATTGGCAAAAATCGGTATCGGCAGGTCAAAATCGGAAATCGGAATCGGCCAAGAAAATTGCAATCGGTGCATCTCTAACTGTGATGCTTTCAAAACAGTCTGTTTCAGTGGATTAACTTCTGAATCAACCAGTCACATGAGTCTATGGGCTGGACTATCTATATGTACAGTACATCGCTAGCATTTGGGAAACCTCTTTGGAAAAGTTGTTGTTATTGTTCTTGTCATTGTCATTGTCTCTGTTCATGTTTTGTTCCACTAGTGGCTGAGAAATGGCACACTTCACCTTTAAGCGTACTTGTTTACTACAGGGTTCCCACAATCATGGAAATCTTGGTAATATTAAGCAATTTTTAAACTTGAAATTTTTTTTTTTTGAAAAGTCTCATTTATTTGTTTATTTATTAATTTATTTTTTGCCTATTTACACCACCGTTCAATTCCGTTCCATTCAGTCATTTTTTTTAAAGAAATTAATACTTTAAATAAGCAAGGATGCTTTAAATTAATTATGACTGACGCTAAAGACATGACATGTAAGATTCTTTATGTAAGATAATTTTTTGGGAAAATTAATACTTTTATTCTGCAAGGACGCATAATTGATCAAGTGAATGTAAAGACATTTATAAAGTTGCAAAATATTTTGATTTCAAGTAAACTTTCTATTCATCAGAGTCCAGGAAAATGTATCATGATTTCCACAAAAAATATGAATCAGCACAACTGTTTTCAACACTGATAATAATAAATGATAATAATAAATGACAAATATTTTCTTGAGCAGCAAATCAGCATATTAGAATGATTTCTGAAGGATCATGTGACACTGAAGACTGGACTAATGATGCTGAAAATTCAGCTTTGATCACAAAAATAAATTACATTTTAACATATTCTCATAGAAAACAGCTATTTTAAATTGGAAAAATAGTTCACAATATTTCTGTTTTACTGTATTTTTGATCAAATAAATGCAGCCTTGATGAGCATA